GGTAGTTTATAAGTATGGTTATAAGCCCCCTAGCATGGGTCACAACCATAGTTACCTTACTTATAACCCCACTAATAACTACCCATGAACCTCCCAGTACTCAAAGAGGCCCATTGAAACCAAGAGCTGATACAGACAAGCAAGGGGTTTTTTTTGGAGCCATGGAGCAGGCGCCCACGAATGGCTCTGGAGGCGGTTCCTCGGCCTCGGCGGGTTCCTCTGCAGGGCCCATGGACTGGGACCCGGTGACCGTGGCTGCCCGACAGATCCTGCACAAGCCCTCTGCCGCCTGCCTGCGCCGACTGGCATCGGAGATCGCAGGCTTTAAGGAGGATCCCCTGCCGGGCGTGAATGTCTGGCCGGACGAGAACTACGCGACGTTGGTTCACGCTTTGGTCCGGGGCCCCGAGGGCACGCCCTACGAAGGTGGGCTCTTCCACTTCGTGCTCTATGCGAAGGCAAACTATCCGCATGAGGCGCCGTTGGCGCGGCTGATGACCACGGGCCAGGGGACAGTCCGCTTCAACCCACAGTTTTATACATCTGGGAAGGTCTGTCTGTCCATTTTGCATACCTGGCCAGGTCCGGGCTGGAATCCATCCTTCACTCTGAGGGTGGTTTTGCTTCAGCTACAGGCGCTGATGAATGACCAGCCGGCCCTGAACGAGCCCGGCGTGATGATCATGAGCAACCCTGAAGATTACAACGCCTACTTGAGACATGAGACCTTGAGAGTCGCCGTCCTGGGCCTCCTGGAGCACTGCAGTCATCGCGTCTTCGCCCAAAAAGGGGAGGAAGAGGAGGAGAAGGCTCCGGAGCCTGGGGAGGCGCCTCCTATGCCTCGGGAGCTCGCGGAAGTGGCGCTCGCCGTCTTGCTGCAGGACGCTGCGAAGGCCGAGCAGCGATGCCGGGAGCTGGCCGCGAAGACCCCGGATGGCTCCATGCTGCCCGGAGTGCCTCGGGCTGTGCGTGCCGAGTACTCCGGCATGGCCTCCCGTCTCCGCGCCCTGCGGAGTCGTCCCAGCGGACAGGACCGACAGGACCAATCGGAAGAGTCGGGGGAGCCGGAAGAGGAAGAGAAGGAGGCCTCCGGGGTCGCGGCCGAGAATGCGCCGGACGTGGAAGAGACCGAGGAGCCAGAGTGCCGCATCTGCGGTGGTGGAAGCGAGGACACAGCCGGTGCAAGAGCCCGAATTGTTCGTTTGGCTCTATAAACTTGAAGGACGGAGAGCTGCTGCAGCCCTGCGGTTTCGGGCCTCAGCAAGGCTAGGACGATGAGTCCTAGAGCCATGCTGACGCTTGCTTAGGTTGTTCTGGCAGCATGGCGTACGTGCATCGTTGGCAGCCCGGTATGCGACACCGCGGTTAGCCACAGTTCGTCTGACACAGAAGTCTCAAGCTGCGAGGTGCATGTGCGGCAGAATGGATCCGCCGAAACCAGTCCCCCGTCTGTCCAATCTGCGGACAGGCACCCACAGCCCTTCCAATACATTCTCGATCCATCCCGGGTTGCTATGCTGATTAAGTATGCTGTGCTGTCAGGTCAGTTTAGAGGGCTGCTTTTCGTTTGGGCGAGGCCTATCGGGATCCTGTCCTGCGCACCCTTGGGATGCTGGGTCGCTATCGGCGGAGATGCCCGGGCCCAAGCCACTGGCCCATCGTCCCTTGGAGCCTTAGAGCCTCAGAGCACGAAGCGCCAGGTGTGGAGCTTGGAAAGCTGGCCAGTTGCGTTGGAGCCAGATGCCTTGCGTGTACAGCAGGTATGTGGGTGGTTCTCTAAATTAGGGTCCCTGTTTAGGGTCCTTTTTATAAGGGTGCCGTACTATACTAGGGACCTAAAGAGAGACCCTCATTTAGAGAACTACCCATGTGCAGATGCCGATGCAGCCCTTGCGATGTTCCCTTCCCACGGCAGTTGCTAGGTCGCCGTCGCCTGCCTGATTTTCCAAATGGCCTCCAGCTCCGGGCAGCGCCCCTACTACGGTATAAGGGGCGACCCTTCGCATGTTTTTGGGGGCAGCATCCTCTCCTCTCATCTCCCCAATGTAGTACGCTAAATAGACCCTAAACCCTAAACCCAAAATCAGGTACCCCCCAATCCCCGAGGCTCATGCCCGTGGAGATCGCTCCGTGGGAGCTGGGGCGCTGGAGGGTGGAGCCAGCGTGGGGTCCACAGCAGTCCGCAGTCCACAGTTTTGCTCAGAAACATGGTAAGTGGGGTTTTGAGAGAGCCCAATATCCGAATCCCTTAAATCAGGAATGTACCTTAAATTATAGGGCCCTTATGGGCCCTTAATATTATGACTATGATTCAAGCTCTATTCCTCATTTAAGGGGTATTGGGCTCTCTGGGTCTTTGCTTCATGCAGGCCCCGCGGTGAGGCGGAGAGTGCCGGGGCCTTTGTGGAAGAAAGCCTGCTTGGAGGTTCATGGGTAGTTATGAGTAGTGTTCCTTTAAGGAATCTATTGGGTGTTTAGGGTTTAGGGTTTAGGGGTAGTTATAAGTGGGGTTATAAGTAAGGTAACTATAGTTACAGCCTTACAGCCCATATTAGGGGCTTTATAACCATACTTATAACTACCCATGAACCTCCAAGTGGGCCTCGGGTGTGGAAGAAGCTGAGAGCGGACTGCGAGGCAGACTCGCGCAGCGGCACTCTCCTTGGAGCAGCGCGGCGAGTCGACGCCCAAGAAGTGCCATTGGACCGTTGTATACTTGGAGGTTCATGGGGTAGTTATAAGTCCTACAAGTAGGGTTGTAAGTCCCCGAAGATGGATTATAAGTATAGCTTTACCTTACTTTCTAACCCCACTTATTATAACTGCCCATTGAATCTCCAAGTAAGCTCCCGGCCTTGCAAGGCCGCCAGCGGTCGAACTGGTGGTCCATGGGCTGGCGGCCCAGCCTGGGAGCTACAAGCTTGGAATGCCTCCAGCATACCTGGAGGTTCTAAGGGATCTATGAGGGCTCTACAGGGGCTGTATAAGGGGTCCTATAAGGGGGTATAAGGGGTCATACTTGGAGGTTCATGGGTAGTTCTAAGTAGGGTTATAAGCCCCCTAATATGGGTTATAACAAAAGTTACCCTGCTTAAAACCCTACTTATAACTACCCCTAAACCCTAAACCCTATAGAACCCTTTAAAGGAACCCTACCTATAACTACCTATGAACCTCCAGCATAGCCTCGGTTGCTGCAGCGTCCTCCCAGACTTCGGCAAAATCCCACCGAGCCCCGGGGGCCTTTCTGTAGCTTCCGGTGCTGGGCTGTAGCAACGCCTGGTCCACTGCACTCCTCTGCCGGGCTTCCTTTTATTTGCAACTGCTTTCTGTCAGTCTCACGGACCAAAGAGGCACAGAAGCGTAAACTGTTGAAACCTGCTCCTTGGATAGATTCTGTGTCTACCTGGAGGTTCACGGGTAGTTATAAGTAGGGTTATAAGTCCCCTAGTATGGGTTATAAGTTATAACTAAAGTTACCGTACTTATAACCCTACTTATAACTACCCATGAACCTCCAAGTGGGTACGGTACCCCCTTTTTCGGCGTCGCCACAACTCGGCGCCCAGGAGTTGCCAGGTCCCAGCGAACCTCTCTCCGAGGAGCCGAAGAGCCTTCGGATGACCTGCGATGTTCGGGCTTGGGGGTTAGGGCCTTTAGGGTTTAGGGCCTATAGGGTTTAGGGCCTATAGGGTTTAGGGTTTTTGAGGGGGTGGGGAGGCCAGGGTTTGGGATTTAGGGTCACCGCTTGGGCTGCCAAGGCTGCTCTAGGGTTTGGTTAGTCTATTTTGTTGTGTGTGTGTGTGCGCGTGCGTGTGTCTTCCAAAGTAAGGCTCGTCCGGTCCAGGAGCAAGCACTCCTCATTCCGGATGATGGCAATGTGCCAGTCTTCCCGGCCTGATTGAATGACTTTTGAGTTGAGCTAGATATGAAGTGGGTTTGTATTTGGGTTTTAGTGAGAGTGTATCGGGCTCCGCAGAGATATTGGTGAGAGTATGCTTGCAGAAAACTCTAAACCCGGACCCTAAACCTTAAATCCTGAAGCTCAACCTAATAATGCCTCAGCCCCAATATAAGGGCCGAAATAATTGCCAACACCATTTTTTGGGGGTTCCTTATTCTCATCATAGTATTTACGGGCTGCCGCCAGTGCCGC